TAGGAGTAGCGGTCCGGGCGTAGGAGGTAGAGGAGCGCACCAGGGCGACGGATGAGTGAGCCTGGCTACCGAACCTATTCGACCATACTGGACCTCAGTGCGAGAGTTGTCAGAGGGGTTAGCAACGTCGAGAGATGGGGTGTATCGGAGGGGGTAGAGTGATGCTGACCGAGAGTAGGAGAAGAAATGAGGAGTGATTCAGCGGCCTGGTTAGCTTATGTTTTCTCACGAGAGTCCGAATCGTATAGTGTGAGGAAACTTGTGGGACCCAGAGAGACGGCGGTTGGATACGACATACCACTTCCTGTGGCGTTAGAAGAGGCAGGGCGTGTACCGATACGATACTTGGGAACGTGGCTCGCATAGGGGCTCTTCCTTTGGACAGTGATACTACGAGACGAACGACCCGAGAGGACTCATGATCTAGAAGGGGTCGGACATCTAATAGCGGATAGAACACACAGTTTAGAGATAGGGCTAACGCTCGCAGGGGCGAGCAGGAGTTGGTGGAGAAGCGAGTTGTTGGCCAGAGTGATTGTTAATCAGCAATTGGCGAGACTCCCTGGCGGGAGGACGAGTAGGAGCTGCTTGGTATACGGTCCACCACATCCGACCCTCTACCCGAGAAAGGATTGGCGATTTGGAGTTTCTACCTTCGTGATAGGGCAGACCTATGTGAGCGTGGATCGTTTGAGGAGAGCAGTGGATCAYACACTTTACGCGCTCTGGGAGGGCTTACCGCCCCGCTTCAAGGAAGTATACTACGCCATTTGTGTGAGATGGGGGCCGCCCAGTAGAGAGACGCTTGACGACATCATAGATGTTACGAGCTGGGTGGACTATCTGAGGCCTATCGATCTGATTAGGTACTGCAGGAGACGGGCAGAGATCGATTACGCGGGGCTAGAGGACGCTAGTTTTCTCTTCGAGGTCGCAGCTTAGGGAATGTCAGGAAGGACGGCCACGGTGATGCGTGTAGAAGAGGAACTGGTAAGCACAGGATACACTGTGACAGTACTTCTCCGAGCGTACATAGACGACGACTTGACGGCGAGTGAGTGCAGACAACGAGCTAGGGATTTGATCCACGAGCGTAGAGCTGATGTACTGGCGCGAGTGACCTTCCAGACCTCGATTTCCTATGATGTGATGATATGGTCTCATGGTTATATGCGCGCGGAACACTACCATGATGAGACGGTAGAGGAGGCTAGAGTGAGGGTGAGAGGGTGAGCTGGAGAAAGATGTGGACTGAGTATGGAAGAGGAGAGTGAGGCAGTCGGAAGAGTGAGAAAGCGCATTAAAGAACCACTCTTGAACCAGGTAAAGAAGTTGGGGGACAAGTTAAGAGAGATCTGGTTGTGTCAAGACGAGGGCAAGTTGCGAAGGGCTGAACTCGTGACAAGAGAGTTAGACAATCTGTTTAGGGAAGAAAGAGAGATTATGCAGGCGTGGAGATCAGACTTTCTGGAGAGGATAAAGGCTAGAAGCGTATCACGCGAAGAAACTAGTAAGCGATCTGCAGAAAGCGAGACAACGGAAGACAAAGTAACGCAGGGGAGTAGCGACAGGACATGAGCGGGACTGCACTACACACGACGGATCGGTACTCAT